ACCTGATATTCGGTATAGAATGTATGAATTCAAAATATGCAGTGGAACATTGTGAAATTTGATGAAATTGACGAACACTAAGATCATGTGACATGATTGGACCAATCACAGAGTTCGAACTTTCAAAGGATTTTTCACCACTCAAACCCGTTGGAGTAGCTGCGTAGCCATTGCTGTTTGTGGAGTGTGCGATCGTTAGTTTATAGATCTGAAATCATCATGGGCATCGAAAAGACTCCAGCTCTGCAAGGCACCACGAAATCGTCTCCAAACTCCAGTGCAGGGTACTAACATAATTCTTGTCAAATATATAGACCTAATGTGAAGTTCTGAGTTTTTATCAGTGAGTGGGTTCCCCAGTCCCAGGGAAGACGGCCATAATAACTTCAAGCAAAAGCTTCGGGAGAGGCGTAGTGTATTGTTTTGCAAAATTTGCCATTGAAATCCATCTCCAACATAAAGGTAGGTGTTTCTCCGTATATGTCGGTACCTCTGGAATAAGTTAATATAATAATTGCGATGCATGTAAACAAGGGTAATGAAATGCTTTGAAGGAATTTGTAGGCCTCTCGGCTTTCTTCCCTGAAAGGGGAACCCGCCATGTTGAAGAACTTGGAACAAAAACAGAGAGAAACAGAACAAACGCATATATATATTTGTAAATGTAAAATTTGAATCTGAATGCCGTATTAATGTGTGTGTTTACGCAGTTGGAATTGATTTTGCAACTTTCCGGCGTATAAGTAGGCTTAACTGACGCATTGAATGGCAGAGCAGGCATTTCAGGTGCTGGTGTAGGTAAGAAGCCCAAAATACTGGCAGACTTGGCCGCCGTGTTTTTCTTGTATTCACGCATTAGAATAGTGCTGTGTTACGAAGTCTAACTGGATGGGCTTTTGTTGCTTTGGTACTTTTCTAACTAATAATTTTAATATTAAATGTTTTCCTCGAACCCATTATTTTTGTTTCATAAATCATATGTGTTTACCTACATACGCTCTGTTTATGTCTGCTCAAATATTGTAACCTGTGTTTGGTTAGGTAGCCCTGATTTGGTGTAGAGTGTGAATTATAATAAAGTATTGAGATGGAGCACAATGTACTTCAGTTTTCTTCTGTATATGCGGTCAATGATTCACTCCTTCGTTTGGAGTCAGTCATGTATTTTAATGTACTAAAACTTTTAGGTTATGTGTTCACTTGTTATTTTTGCTGTTGTTGAGGGAAGCTTATAATTACTTGAATAAATATGATTGGCATATGCTTTTGAACTGAGAATCTTCATTTGTGTCTAGTGTTACCTGTGTTGCAACCCATTTTTCTTGCATTTCATATAGTCAGCAGTAGTAAATGAGTTCAAGTGAATTGTTGCCATCTGAGAAATGGTTGTTTGGTGGGAGTGAATATAGTTAGTGCTACCAGTATAATATTTACTTGCTCTGTTTGAGGTGGCTTTCTTTATGGTGTGGTGGGTAGTAAAATAGGAGGCTAGAAGTTGGAAATGAATAGAGCTTGTGGGGCAGCATGTGAACTTGAATTTACGCATTGAATGGTTTGATGACAGTATGTACAGGCTTGGTCCTTGTGGCTGTAGGTTCCACTTAATCCTGCAGCTCTTTTCTGACATCTCTACTTCTCACATTTGTCCACAATCTGCTAGGGGAATATTCACGTAACTAGCATTCTGCATCCTTGTGACCGTATTTGGGTATTCAGGTATGTCAGCTTTGGACGAATGTTACTGTTATGATTGTGGATTTTCTTAGATGGTGTGAAACCACTATAGGACTAACAAATCTAAAACCTGCTGTAGTGGTCAGAGCATTGTGTTCAGGTTTGGGAATCTCTCCTTCAGTAAGAAAGAGTATTTATTACTAGGGTAACAGTTACCAAGTGCACTTACATTGGATTGTTTTGCACTGTATTCTGTTACATAATGGTATTTAGTTTGGTAACTGTAAACTGCAAGGTGATGGCCAGAAGGGAGAGGAGAGTGGCTTAGCAGAGGAGGCCCAGAGGGAAACCTATGTAAAACCCCAGTTGATATGGCTAGTTTTTCACCCAAGATTTGAACCTGGTACGTCTTGGATTGTTGGGTTTTTGGACTCTGTCATCTGATATAAAATTCACGTTTTTAGAACTGGATCTGTCCAAGTTTTCAGGCATAGTAAAGGGGGCACCAGATTGTATTACACCTTTGTCACAATCCTTTAGAATCAATTATTCCTCTTAAATGTGAAGCAGGACTCAACAGTCCTTGGCCTTGATTTTTGGTGCATTGGCAATAGTTTCAATATATAATATAAAATTACATTGCTGTGAAACAGGAGATGAGTATAGGCTATGGACATTTACACTGTTTCTGATTGGACTTTCAATTGCTATGCACATTACTGAAGTATCAGTTTCCATCATTGATGTCTGTGACAGCAAAGCTCTTAATTATTTTAAAATTGTTATGTCACCCAGCTGTTGCTGTATCTGCTAACAAATGTTAAAACCACAAGATGGTTATGGGTAATGAAGAAACATGCAAACCTTCGTGCTAGTGTCGTATATCAAGCCCACCCTCTGTGATTTTACTGCATAATATGGTTGTGGTTTGGTCTATACCATTTGATTAGCACAAGCTAAACCTCCTGACATATATACATTGCAGATGAAGTTGCTGCATGTTAGTACAGTTTGCAGTTGATTGTTAAATAAAGATTTTTGTGTTCAGACTGCTGCCTAAGATGAACAGGTCTGTGGCACATTCATTATTATATGGGTTTTTAAAAAGAGCAAAACACGCTTTTGCTGTCCAAAATGCTGGGTGCCACGCCAGAATTTCTAGGTGCAAGGTGACCTGGCACCTGGGATTTCATTAAACCATGTATCCTTTTTAGCTTGTTTTTCACTGAACCATGTCTTTCTAATTAGCCTGCATGCAGTTTAATTTTCATAAAGTTTGTTTTGAAATTGGGCACAAACTGTGGTGCTGATAATTTATTTGTGTTTCTGAAAATGAGTTTTCCATTCTAGCTCTTTATCTCACAGCCTTTTATAAGTTTATTTTCTTAAAACTCCATCCCATTTTTCCATATTTAAATTCATTATGGACACTAATAAAAGTTCCCCACCCTTTAAAATAATTATAATATGACTTTTACCTCTTCCTGTTTGTGTTAACGTGAATGGTTCATTATTTTTAACTTCTAAAGTGTGGTTCCCATTATTTTGTTATGCAGTGTTTTTATAAGCTAATTTGCCAACACCTCTGCCCATTTTCATGTATTTTATTTTTGACATTAAATCCATTATGGTGGCCACTTATTTTCTCATTTAAAATGGGGCAGAGACTTTAAGAAGTTACAAAATTGTGTGTGGTGAGATAGAACAAATAAATTTTAGGATGATAAAACATTGTAGCAGTGTCTGTGGAACAAAGATTTTAAAATCATATAATTGAAGTGAAGTGCAGAATTTTTAATAAAATCACATAAGGTGGCTCCACCGATGTTTTTCAGTATGAAAAATGCAGTGCATAAGAATGGGTGTCAGCTTTCCAGCAGATTATTTACAAAATGCTATTATTTCCAGATAAAAATTTCCCCCTCCCTTTTAATACAATGCTTTAACAACTTGAAAAGTATTCATGCCAAGCAGCAGTACTTATGCCGAAGATGGCTATCTTCTGGGTTGTATTGCCATATAGTGTGGTAGAAGTTGCTGCTACTGGAGGTGGGAATGACCTTTGAAACATTAGTAAACTTCCGCACAGATGTACAGCCCAGAAGATTGCAATCTTCATACCACTGAGAGAACCTCAAATCTTACTTAGTACTAATGTTGGTTTTGAAACTTTTTTTGTTGGTCTGGTGATCTTTTAGGGAGATGTAAAGCCAGTGTTTTCTCTTTTTTCCTGCCCATGCCTACGTGTATGAGCAATCTGATAGTGACTTTCCTCATTACATTGTTTTAAACAGGAATATTTGTTAGTGACAGTTCAGTATGTTGGTATGATTGATGAAGATTTTCCTTTTTATTGGTACTTTCATTTCCTTTAACCTTTGAAACAGATTTTTGTCCACATAATAACCTATATCGAATAAGAATGGGGATTTGGAAGACTTCAGTGTCAGGAGTAATGGTTTATTGGTATGGTAGTGAGATGCATGGCTGGCTTGATCTCACTCATGGATGATAAGGAATTTTAAAAACAGATAATTGCAAATAGTATTTCTTATAACTTGTCGGAAACCTTGTGGATGTGTTGACAGTTTTCCAGGAGTACTCAAAACATGATTCCTCTGCAGTTTGAGGTATGCACTAGTTCTTGACTGCTTGCTATAAACATGTCATTTTGACACAAATTAATTTGATTTACACAGAATTTAATTTTTACTGCTTAGATGCTTTTGTCATATTTGTTAATCACTGGTCTCACAACATTGCATATATTTTTTTAGATTAAAGATTGAAGGGTAATGTAGATATGCAGTGGAGTAAAATAGTTCAGCAAAGAATATGAACAGAACATTACTAAAGGAAGGCAGCATTTTATAGCTAGAATAATTTTTACTGAAGAGGTCAGACACCAAATGAAAACTGGAGCTAAAGGGTTAAAAGACTAGTATAGTGCCCAAGGTCAGCCAGTTCTCACTGCTTGGCTAACTTTCTCTAGGTCAGCTTTCAATGAGATTTTATAATTTGACACTTCTATAAGTCCATTGTTCATTAGTAATAACAGTGCATCACCAGAGTAGAAAGTTGGTTGAAATTAATTACTTTAATATTACTGCAAGTTGTCCCCTATACATTGATAGCATTTAGTTTTTAAGGGTAATTTTTATATGTTTTTTCTTGTATATTAAATTGATTTTTGATATACTGCAAGTTTGGTAATTGGGAGGGTGGATAGGAATTGAGGAATATTGTAGATCAAAAAAAATTGAGTCAGAAATTGTCTTTCATTATAATATGAACACATTTTGTGTGTGAAAATGGTGTTATATTATGTAATTAGGAAGCATAAAGACACAATATCCTTCTAGTTTTTATAACGCAGAACAATTGCTTGCCTGGTTCATACTTCTTTTATGAACATGTGTTGTACTGACTGTTAGAAATGATTACTATAGATACAACTCCTACTAAATGTTACTTGGTCATCATGCAACAAAGGTGTGTGCACTTATATTTCCTTTTGAATATTTGCAACTTCAGAAATATTTAAACAAATTATAGTATTCAGAGGGATTGATATTTAACCCTTCAAGCTTGTCTTTAACACTGTTGCATTAACTATTTAAAACTCACCTCCTTTACTAATCAGTAACTGTTTTCCCCACAGAGTGTATTTATGAATTTCATATGCATCTCTGAGGAAATAGCAATTATTTCCTTAAACAGTGTTAAGCAGTTGATCTTTGTAGTGGTGATGTTTTCCATGGGGTATGGTACTTGGACGAGCGATGGCT